CGGCCTTCCAGCACCATTCGGGTTGAGGATAAGGGGCGAGCTAGCTTTATCTGTTACTGTGTGAACCAAGTCGCTGCGTGAAACTGCCACGTAGACGAATTACTACGTAGACTGACCGCCCGACATATTGTGGCGCAAAGCTGATATCGGCACTCCCTCATCAACGCCCACAAGAGCACTGCATGCTAGTCAGAGCAGTCCGAGGCAGCAGTGTTTCCCTCCGAAGCGCCGCAGTAAATCTCGTAACAAAAACGTCATGTTGCGGCGGGAGGCGAGGTGCAAAACCTGTTTCGTTACATAAGATTTCGGAGCACTTAAGCTGGAGGCACACAATAATAAGAATTTCTTGTGATGCTTTGAGAATAAGATCGACGCCGGCTTTGCACGACTCAACAAGAGATGTGAACCGAATCATGCACTTGCTACTTGCTCTTTGCATCGCCTCCTTTTGAACGGACTGCTGCTGGCTTATTTTGCCGCGCTCATGTGCCTAGGCAGCATGGGTACATAAACTGCAACGTCTCCGAGTGATGTCATGAGGCGTGGACATGGCCAGCGCAAGCTCCAAATTGCCTGCGTAGGTGCCCAGGCTTAGGGCAAACTTCTCCTGCAAGATATCAGAGAGCATGAGTCGTCGTCTATCTATCTGCTGTTCTTTCTGCCTCGGGTTTGATCCGAGTAAGAATTGCCGCCAGCGTGGCCAACAAGTCCAAAGATGTGCCATCCTGCAACCCATATCTAAAGGCTAACGGCCAACACGGACGGGCATCCGTGCCTCTGAACGGACGATGCATGGCCAGTGGTGTGGTGCGAGGCTGATAGCTGCCACGACTCTGCCGCCCAAGGGTTCTTGGTCTTGCAGAGAGCTTGCCAGAGGCTCGTACCCACCTCATGACAGCCATGACGACAGCCCGCAAGAAATTTGAAAACACGGTTCGGAGTCAGGTGCCTGTGTTGCTGCACGGCATCACCAACAACGTCTTGCCTGCCGTATGATGACGCGGTCCATCTGAAGTTGGAGCAAACAACATGAAGCGCCGGCTGTCCAGCCTGGTGGTGCCGCATGGAACTCCAAAGTTTCATAGTAGGCAGGATATAGCATCACTGCAGTGCCGCTGCTCCTTAAAAAGCACTACCCAGGGAGGAATGATTCAGTCGGACATCCGCACACACACACACACACACAAAATACACACAGAGCCTGACGAGGCCCTTGCTTCCATGCTATCGAGCAAAACGCTTGACTCTTGTATTCTTCGTTGCTGCATGCAGCGACCGTAGCACGGGTGCCGTTGCAGACCTTGCACCATTGCAAACAAGGAAATGGAGCTAGTGCAAGGCTCACCGAAACCCCGCAACGAGGCAAATACGTTTCCATGCGGGCTGCCCCAGATCACGAGGTCGAAGCTGCCATGTGGTACTGGCGGCACCTGCCGCTCTGATAGAGGAACAAACGCATGTGCATCCATCAATTTTAAGAACTCGTCCGTCCTTCCACGACAGTGCATTGAAACCATCAACACTTTCAAACGGCAGCTCGTTCGCGTCGAGGATAGCTCCGCAGGCCGCGAGAATGAACAAGTTCTTGTCCTGCATATCCCGTAGTTCGACTAGCTTGCTGTGTTGTTGCATAACATTGAGCACACGGCCAGGTGCCATCGCGCCGGACAACGTACCTCTGCGTCCTGATCCATGCCGACGACCCTTCGACACGGGGGGAGTCAATGCGCGCAGCTCTCTCACACCTGCCTCTTCCTCCGCTTCGAGGTCCTGTGCAGAAGACAAGATGGGCAAGCTCGGACAATCACGGCGCAAAAGATGAAGATCCTTTAGCCAGGAGAGTGGCACTGAAGTTGGGATGATGCCGAAGTCGCTGATGACCAATCGCTCCATGTTACGTCTCCTCAGCAGAACCAACATAGAAGCAATGTGCAAAGTACTTCAACTAGATCAAAGCAGCAGCTCCTTGGCAGCAGGGCCGAAAAGAGCAGCTGTTACTGCAGTCTTTGCTGTCTTGAGCACAAAATGCTGTTCCGATAAAAATTATATAAATATATATCGATATATATATATATATGTATCATCATCACTGCTATTCACCACGGTTGTTCTATCGCTTCCGTTATGCATTTGCTCTTCTACATCTGCATCCAGAAATGCAGAAGGACCAACTGGAGAGCCTTTTCTCGCCATTTTGCTGGCTGATCTGTATTCGGGGTCAGATGCTACGCACACAAGCCAGGCAGGTTTCCGGCATTACCAGCCCCAAGAGAAGCGCACCTGTCGAGCAGGCGGGAGATGGTGCACCATGCGGTTTAAGAATAACCAAAAGCTGCGGCACAACATACCGGTTAAGAATAAGCTCAAACATGGTGGCACACTGTACAAAAGCAAACGTGGCGGCACACCACACTGGTTAAGAAGAGTCTCAAACATGGCAGGGCACCGTACAGAAGAAAACGTGGCGGCGCACCATACTGGTTCAGAACATACTCAAACATGGCGGCGCAGCATACAGAAGCAATCGTGGTGGCACATCCTACTGGTCAAAGAATACTTTCAAGAATGGCGTGGCGCCCTACAAAAGCAAGTGTTGCGGCATGTCGGCGCATCGTACAGAAGCAAGCGTGGCGGCGCACCATACTGGCTAAGAACAAACTCAAACGTGGCGGCGCTCCGCACGGAAGCAAACATGGCGGCGCGCGATGCAGCTTAAGAAATAGCCCAAACATGGCGGAGCACCGTACCGGTTAATAATAAGCTCACCTGGCGGTGCACCATATTGTTTAAGAATAAGCTCAAACATGGCGGCGCACCGTACTGATTGAGAATAAGCTCACCTGGCGGTGCACCATACAAGTTAACACTAAGCTCAAACATGGCGGCGAAGCAGAAGCAAACGGGACGACGCACGATACTGCTGCTCAAACATGGCGGCGCAAACGTGGCGGCGCACCATGCAAGTTAAGAAGGAGCTAAAACATGCTGGCTATGTGCATATGTGCCGGCCTTCTTCTTCTACTGCCTCAGTTTCCGAGTAGCTGCCGGGCGGTGCTCACACAAGCTGTCAGAAGCACTTACGTGCCGGCCTTCTTCTTCCGTTGCTCAGCTTCGGAGTAGGTACCTGCCGTCGTGCACACACACATATAGACACACGCGCACGCCCGCGCACACACAACAAGAATCAGCATTGTACAACATCTTTCGTACCTCCTGATGCCGCTCCAGTTTGTGCGATCTCTGTCGGCCTGTGGTGGTTGCCACTGGTTGTGCAGTGCCCGTCAGAGAACAAATTTACGGTAGCTTACAACCCACAAAAGCGCGGCTTTCTTTCCGTCTCGCCGTACTGCGCTGGGTGAGACAACGTGCATCAACCAAGAGTCCTGCGCTGAATGCTTTCTGCGACCATTTCCAGAGCCATAGCTGCGCGCTTGGCCACACGCCTTGCTGCCTCTTGCTCTTCTCTCCGGCGCTCCTTTTGTTTGTGCTTTCGGAGCTCTGCCTTTTCCTCCTGTCTTCTCTTCTTCTCGAAAATCTCGAGGTTCTTGATGCAGAGGCGTATGTTCTTCTTGGTGCCGAGCGGAAGACCTTGCAAGTCCTGGTTCGATAAGCGTTGGAGTCGCCTGCCGAAGTCCAGGTCGCCCGTGATTCTGGGCGCTAGCATTGGGTATTTCGAAAGGGCCCCGATCAACGCCAGGCGACCCAGCGTGAGGGCCCAGTCTGAGCGCTTCGAAAATCCTGCGACGAGCCGCTTCAGGTGCACGGATAAGTGTGACCATTTCTGTGCCGCAACCGAGCAAGTGCAGATCAAAGCACCGAAAAGCATCGATGTATCCATGGCGCCGGGCGCGGGTGGGGCGTGATTGTCGAACAAAAGCTTGATTTGTGCCCAAGAGCTACACCGGTCAGACGATCCTGCCTGCTAACCATCTTTCGGCCGGCCCCCGCCTTATTCAGCTTGAGGACGAGCTCGGAAGAAGGCACCTGGCGCGTTAGTATGGCTAGAGGACGAGGAAACCAGATCGAAATGCGCGACCCGTTCGCTTTAGGGTCTTTTCAGGTAAGACGCCGTGTCCTGCGTGTCCAGGATCGGCACCTGACGTCGCGTAGCTGCGATGACAAGAAAGTATGGGGGCGGATATTCTAACGGGCCGCCTAGCACACGTCCAAGTTGCGAGGAAGCAGAGGCGTCCAGCAAGCCTCTGCTGCAGCTAGCATCTCACCATGCGGGAACGGAACGCAGCCTCTCCTGCAGCCTTGCCCGCCGAAGACTTTAATTTCGAAGCTGGCTTTGGTTCCGTGTTCCCTGCACCCATGTCTTGTCGGCACTTGACACCGAATGCTCAACATTGGCTGGAGAATATGAAACAAGCCCGGCCCAGCCTCCGTTCGAGAAGCTGCTAGTACTGAAAGCCCCATACGGGCTAAGAATTAGCAACTTATCCGTGCCCGGCCTGCATCCTGATGGAAGTTGAGGATAAGAACCTCGCACCGAGTGCCGTGCACAGGTAGAGAACACACAAACTTGCCGAGCTTCGTCCCGCACAGCTAAGAAACAACCGTCGACGTAGGGGCTTCGCCAATGCAGCCGAAGGGTTGAAAACTAGCTTTGCCGGGACTTGAAGCCACCTGAAAAAGGAGCGCTTTGCACGCGTGCTTGTTCTCCGTAGACTCGATGCTTGTGCTCTCACGGTTGTCTAGGCTCCTTGGCCTCGCATCGCGCCGCAAGCGGCGCCGGCGCATCAACGTGTCTCGGATCGTGAACTCCTAGTCAGGAGCCACTCGTGCAAGGTTACGATGAATGGCCACACTGACCCAACCCGCTAGGACCTCAGTGGCAGTGGGCGCAGATGAGGACCGGGCGTGTGAAGGCTATAGGCGAGGCTAGCGACCAGGATAGCTGCGAGCCGAGGTGGTACGGCAACAGCATATTTCCGGCATGGACGTGTCGTCAAGTGCCCTGTCATGCAACAGAATGCCCCTTCTCTGCTGCATTCTCCCTACAAGCACTTGCTTTCCTTCTTTCTTTGCTGGCATTCCCTTGTACCTGGGCGCTGCGCACGCACTGCAGCAAGCTGCCCGCTCACTGTGCGCTGGCCTGGCACGAAAACATGTTCAGCTGACTCCACTGGCCACTCTCTCTCGCCTAGCCTTGCCTCTTCGGCTCCGAAGAGATCGCTTTCCCACGCCCAGATGGTGTCGCTGAGGTACCACCACACTACCCACTCCTCCTTCTTCTGGGCTTGGTAGCCTGTGGAAAATCTGAGATCTTAACACAAAGACTCGACCCGAAGCTGCTCCTGTCCCTGGCCTGTCCACCCGTGGTTCACCAGAAGCTCGCGCTTGTTCGCTTCCGTCGCACAGGACTTCGGCAACAGAGGGATGCAGTCTATTGGCTAGCTTGGTCTGCGTTTCGTTGCAAGGATCAATGTAGGGCGCCGACGCGGAGGAGCTTCGCCATGGATTCGGTGGGAGACGGCGGCTTGCGAGCCGGCTTCGCCGGCAGCTTGGGGTCCGTCACTGGAGGGTGCGGCGGCAGTGGAGGCGGAGGGGGAGTTGTCGCTTCCAAGCCGGGCTCATCGGTGGGCGGGTAACGGCCCTGCACACGCCGCAGAGAATGAAGGCATTGATTTCACGATTGACTTGGCTTGGGCGTACGGAGACCGTGCCTTGCGGATGTCCCACCAGCGACGCTCGGCGAAGTCCCATTGCACCATCAGCTGACCTGAGACGCAAACATGCGAGGACATTCTGGAGGGAATGGCGGTCGTGAGGACGGTGCTCAGGCTCCAACTCTTTTGTATGTCGCTGGCACGGAGCCATTTCTTGCGCCTGGCAACAGGAACACAACTTGAATTTCGAAGCACTGGACGCAGAGAACGAGGTTCTGGCTGGTTTGTTGTGAGCGTTTCGACAAACTTCTCGTTCACCGCACCGCTGAATTTGTGCCTGCGGAGAGCTAGCCGTTGCAGACATGAAAGGCTGGCAGAGAAGCTTCTGAGGCGAGAACTTCAAGAAATCAGCGACCGACTTGTCGTGGTTGAACCTGAGGGATAGGGGGATGATAGGAACATGGCGGTGAACTTCCCAGGCCCGGGCTCCCACACATGCTCCATTGCTGGGTAAGAGATATGAAAACTACACACTTCGATGCAAGCCAAACTGCAGAAAGAAGCACAGCTGAGTGAAAAGCAGGTTTCCCCAAAGACACACGCTGAAGCATCTCCATACTAGACATAAACATATATCTATTTATGTGTATATATATATATAGATGTGTATACAAATATGCATATACTCAGAGACGCTCCATTGCTGGAGGGCCAATCTCCCAAAGCTAGAACGACTTAGCAATATGAAGCACTCACAGATTGTTGATACTGGGGTTGCCTGGAAGGCGCTGCAAGGCATGATGTACGTCACAGCAAGGTATGATAATGCGGCAATTTTTCCGGATCATACAGTGTGCTGCGAGTAGTTGAAGCCATCTGCAGGCATGCTTTATGTCAACAGAAGCACAAGTTGCATTAGGGCATGTGGTTGTCTTAAACGACGCTTGCCATGTCAATGCCCACACGACAGGCGTCTACTATCTCTTACACAGACAGAATGAAATCAAGAGCAAGAGCATAGCACCTTTTTTTTGCGACGGTACCGGGTGCACTAATCGTCTCCGGAGACGCTGCCAGATCCTCATAGATCCTGCCAAGTGCAGACAGAAGCCTTGAAGAAAGCGAAGTTTAACACGATAGGGCCAGTCCCTGTCCCAGATCGCGTGTTGGGTAGCTTCCTCATACCACCAATCTCGCTTGGTCTCGGGATCGCGGAAGCCTAGGAAAACATCGACACCCAGATAGACAACCCACACGCCTACACATGCACGCACGCAGACATCCTTCCGAGTATCATGAGGCTCCCACAGTTCCATCCGTTCTTCTTGAGAATTTGCCGTTTCAAAGGCAATTCACGCACCTGCCAAGCAAGCCATCCCATTTCTCCGACGCAGGCAACATCCGATGCCTGTCTCAGCAGCTCGAGAAATTGGTGACCGTGGAGATCTCTTTTGTCCTGACATACTCTTGTGTCTGCCACTCAAGAGAATCCTGGTGTTGAACCTTCCTCAAGCGTGCCTTCACCTTGAAGCAAAGGTTCCACCACAGGCCTTCGACTCGCCAATTCGCCAAGAGCCCGCCTGTGCTCACGTTTTGAACGATCGGGGGAGCATGCATGCTGCTAAGCAACGAGGCTCAGTGACGGGCACTTGCCGATGGGACCTGCGCCTCCGAAACCGGCACACAGACTTTGTTTCCCATAATTAACTCCTTTCCTTCCCACCTCGCCACTCCACCAGCCTGAAAGCGATGTAGAGTCCAAGCAAACATAAACGACCACATGACGGGTAGCCAGCCTAGCATCGGATAAGAAGAGCTCCATCATGTCCGTTGCATCCGCTGCTGGCCTGCCGCACTACGTTCATTCAATTGTTCATTCCTGTGAAAAGGCATACGAAGCACGTCAGGCCTGCCTGGGAATCGAAGCCTTTGCACACGTGTCCATGGCTGTCAAAACTACGCTAGCGACTACTTCCCGTTCTACTGTTCGAACTTCTGCTCTTTGTGTATTTCAATACCGGAATCCCTGCTTGCACCTTCAGTCTTTTCGCTGCTATTCTCAGAACCTTTGCTGCAACTCACCTCGAGCACACCGGGCAGCACGAGTCATGTGCACACGTTGCTTCATCCATGAGATTATCACGCGCTTTAAGCAAGGAAAAGCGCGGGTTGCGGATGGCTTGTCAAACAACCTTTTGAGCCTAGATAAACACCGGGGCCTCCATATATGTCGAAGATAAGCAGCTGCAGCCGGATCACGGACCAACAAGTGCTCCGGACTCTTCTTGTTTTGGCGTTTCTGCCGCGCACGCACTGCGGCGGCTGCTCAGACCTGGCAGGCAGACTTGGCCTGGCCTAACGTTGGTGTGCTGGAGTTGGCTGGCCACGTGTTTTCCCCGGCCTCGTCCAGAAGGTCGTCCTCCCAAGCCCAGACGTGGGAGCAGGAGCTCAGACGCCACCAGTAGCAGGACGGGTCGGGTTTGTCGTCGACTTCTTCGCCTAGCTAGCTGCACGTCCGGGTGATCGCTTCACTTTTACGTAACTGAGATCCATGCAGACCCATCCATTCGCCTTGAGAACGTCCACGGCCTTATGGATCCTTCCGATGCCCTTGCAGCGAGGCCCGCATCGAGTGTACATGTGGACCTCCGGAGCGTCTGAGACCTCTGCACGCAGCTTGTCCTTGATCTCTCGGATTTTGCGCCAGCGGGCTTCTGCGAAGTCCCAAACGGCGTAAAGACGATCTGACCGGCATTTGTTGAAGTGCGCATTCGATATTTCTCCAAAGTCAATGCTCATGCATCTCAGCTCGGGACTTCGCTCGTCGGCTGTCGCCGATGTCCACTTCTTCAACCTGACATGGGAGCACGTTGTGGTGATGGTGGTAACTTGAAACGAGGCAGCGACTGCTTTCTTGTTAGCATGTTGCGCCATGCTTTCTCGGCTGCATAGTTCCGCCTGGCATCGTTGAGACAAGTCTACAATTCGGCTGTGGCTGAGCAGTTCTGAGAGGCTGGCTGCACACAAGCTGCTGCGCTTTGGTCCATCCTGCGGAGCGTAGCAGCAACAAGGCCCTTGTCATGTGGGCTGCAAGGATCCTCACGCGCCTTAAGCAACGAAAATCGAGGGTTGCGTATGCAAATGATCTTTTGAGCCTAGATAAAGTCGAACATAAAGACTTGTTGAGGCAAGCTTCCAGGATTTTGCGTGGATTCATTTGGAGCTTCGACGCCAAGCGCTCAGGACTCTTTTGTTTTGGCATCCCTGCCGCGCACGCACTGCGGCGGCTGCTCAGACCTGGCAGGCACACTTGGCCAAAAGTTGGTGTGCAGGAGTTATCTGTCAACGCGTGTTCCTGCCTCGTCCAGAAGGTCATCCTCCCAAGCCCAGACGTGGGAGCAGGAGCTTAGGCGCCTTGTCCTCGATTTCTTTGCCTGGCAAGCTGCACATTCGCCGTTTGCAGCTCTTGCCGGCTTGCGGATCAACCAAAGCCTCAAGAATGATGGAGAAATGTCCGTGGGCCCAGCATCCATTTTGCAGGTCAAGCCACCAGACCCAGTGCGGTTACCGACGCGAGCCAAAGCAATGTCCAGAAGCCCTGTTGGTCCGTGGGAACGTCCACGACCTTCTGGATCTATCCGATACCCTTGCAGCGAGGCTCGTAGGAAGTGTACATATGGACTTCCGGAGCGTCTGAGGCATCTGCATGCAGCTTATCCTTGATCTCTCGGAGTTTGCGCCAGCGAGCTTCTGCAGAGTCCTAAACGGTGTAGAGAAGATCTGAGAAGCGTTTGCTCGAGAACGCATTCCATATTTCTCGAAAGTCGGTGCACATGCATCTCAGCTCGGGACTTCGCAAGTCGGCTGTCGCGTCCTTTTCAACTTGATATAACATATTATCTGTAACTGTAGAAACAGATAATCTAAGTTCTCAATCTTTTAGCATGAATTGCAAAATCTTGAGGTAAACGAACTTATCAGACCTATCCTGCCAGGCCTGGAGGCGCATCGTACCGAACCCAGCGTGCCAGCTATAATGGATCTGCTAAAGAAGGCCGAAATTAGCGTGGCAGCTATAACAGATCTGTTAAAGAAGGCTGAGTGCTGTTGCTGTCGAGTCTTCAAGCCAGACATTACACAGTTGAATCGCAGCTTTTGTAAACTAGTTTGTTTTCTTCTGCCTTTCCAGATATCAACAACTGTCCAGGTTTCTGCATGGGATGATTTTGCACTTAATTCCACGGGCATTTGGTAGATTCTCTGCACGCGGGCTTTGTTTTCTGCGCACACACTGCAGCGGTACTTCCAGCTCCCCGCCTCGTTCAGGTTGAAGGTAATCGCCTGGCACCCCGTACAGGTTCAGGAGAAGCGAACCAGCTGGGCAATTAAGCGCCCCTTCTGGCCTCAATCCAGCTCTTGGCTTCGCTCACGCTGATGATAATAAGCACCTGGCACCGCATACAGGTTGACGATAAGCGTACTAGCCGGGTAAGCGGGCCTTCCAGCCTCATTCCAGCTCCTCGCTTCGTTCGGATAAGCACCTAGCATCCCAAACACGTTGAGGATGAGAGCACCAGCCGGTAAGCGCTCCCTCTGGCCTCGCTACAGCTCCCTGCTTCGTTTAGGTTGAGAATGAGGATAAGCACTTGGCACCCCATACAGGATATGTCGGGTCAGTGACCCTTCCGGCCTCATTTGAGCTCCCTGCTTCGTTCAGGTTGAGGATAAGCACCTGGTACCCCAAACAGGTTCAGGAGAAGCGAACCAGCCGGGTTTTCGGGTTGGGGACGACACCTGGCACCCCACACAGGTTGAGAGTAAGCCGGGCAAGCGGTTCCGGCCTCGTTCCGGCTGAGGACAAGCATCTGGCATCCCAGACGTTGAGGATAAGCGGGTCAGTGACCCTTCCGGCCTCATTCCAGCTCCCGGCCTCGTTCAGGTTGAGGATGAGCACTTGGCACCCCAGGCATAAGCGAACCAGCCGAGAAGCGGGTCTTCCGGCTTCATTCCAGCCTCCAGCTTCGTTTTGATTTCGGTCGAATACTATACACGAGCGGGTGAACCCCGCTCAGGGATGATTTTTGCAAAGGCTGCCACTGATTGCTTGGGCATCTTTGGATCCTTTTCCAAGGCTCTCTTAATGATGTCGCTGTGTTTCCTCCCTCTCGTCCCCCCTTCGATCTAGAAGTCCCCCTGTCCCCTCCCTTCGTCCCTCTGGGGGGTGGAAGGGTTGGTGGG